GATCATTAAGCAGGGTCCTCACCTACGCACATCAGGAGCCTAAGGACTGGTGGCTCCACCCACGCCACCTAGCTACCTGTGACAGGGGTCCAAGAATAAGTGGTGCCTCCCAGTCTTACAGCCAACAGCACTGGGTGCCCATAGTCTGGCTGAAAAGCCCACCCACCCATGCACTCTAGGAAACAGGGACACACTTTCCTCCCAGACATGCAGGGGCAGCCATGAGCCCCCTGCCTTGCTCAGCATGTGATCTCCTACTGCAGACAGATACCTGTGCCGACTCCAATCACTCCTGCCCATCTAGGACTGTAGGTGAGAGCCTGCACCACACACTTGGTGACTGACCACCTGGACACCTGAGCTGAATCCATACAAGAAAAGTAAACAGACTCCTGTGATCACATACCTAGTAACAGATCTAACCACCTGGTGACAGGACACTGATGCTTCAAAGCTGCCAATAATCAAACTAGCTCACACAACCAGCCTATTCGGGTATCTCAAAACAAGAAGTTAGGACACAGTAAGCAAACATAAAATAAATAAATATAATAACTTATTGACAGCTCAGAGACAACAGTCAATATCAAATCACATTAAGAAGCAGACCATGATGGCGTCAGAAAGCTCCCAAAACAAAGAATCAAGACATTTTCCAGAGGAAGAGAACTTCCTGGAATTACTAGAGGTAGAATACAGAAGATTAATATACAGAAATCTTCATGGGATCAGGAAGGAGATCATGCAAAACACAGACCAAGCCAAGCAACACACAGACAAGGCAATGGAAGAACTTAAGAAGATTAGAGAAGAGCATAATGACAAATTCAACAGGCTGCAAGAATCCACAGAGAATCAGCAAACAGAAATCCAAAAGATTAACAATAAAATTTCAGAATTAGGCGACTCGACAGAAAGTCATAGGAACAGAATTGAGGCAACAGAAGTCAGAATTAGTGAGATTGAAGATAAAGCACTTGACACCAACTTATCTGAGGAAAAAATCAGATAAAAGAATTTTAAAAAATGAAGAAACCCTAAGAATCATGTGGGACTCTATCAAGAGGAATAACCTACGAGTGACTGGAGTACCAGAAGAGGGGGGTATAACAGAAAATACAGAGAGAATTGTTGAAGATTTGTTGGCAGAAAACTTCCCTGATATCATGAAAGATGAGAAGATGTCTATCCAAGAAGCTCAATGAACCCCACATAAGGTAGATAGCAAAAGAAAGTCACCAAGACATATTGTAATCAAACTTGCCAAAACCAAAGATAGAGAATTTTAAGAAAACCCAAATAGAGTACAGTTCTACTCTGTAACACATGGGGTTGCCACTGAGTCAGAACTGACTCAGTGGCAACAGTTTTAGTTTTTTAATTCAGTCTCCCACACGAGTGAGAATGAGAAGATCAGTATCATTGACTTTTCACCATTTGCTGTCATATCCCATCACAGTATTTTAAAAGATTGCTTCTCATGTGTGCCCTACCTTTTGAATGTTTCATAACGGACTCAAAGTAATTTAGGAAAAGCAATCAAAATATAAAGTAACTAATGATATTACTAATAAATAAACCACAAGAAATGGGCTTTTCTCTTCAATGGAAGACCAAAGAATGTATTACAAATGTTAATGACTTTGTAATCCAAGATGACTTGCAGCAGGTACAGAGCTACTTGAATGACTATTAGTCCTTGTTTTCTTTCCCAGAATATATAGTATTTTACATTACGAAGAACAAAAATTTGAAACAATAATCAAAAAACAGATTTTTCCACTAACCAGTGGAAAAAATATATATAAATGGAGCAAGATGGCAGTAAATAAAAATAATAAACTATCAATGTAAATGGAATGCAAGAAGTTCAATCATATAAAACGTAAGGTCACATTATTGAAATTATCTCTGGCTCAGAGTTCCAAAGGTCCAGGAACTAATCACCAATTGTATTAATATACAAACTTTCATTAACACAGATTATATTGTTCATAGTTCCTTATTACAAGGGTTTATAATATTTGATCCCTGATAGAATAATAGTTTCAGTCCCTTGTAGTTTCTTGATTAGCATCAGTTAGTGAAGAGTTTCTATCCAAACAAGTAAAACAGGTTTGGTTTTATTTTAAGCAGGATCTTAAACCAGAGAAAGAGAAAGGGATCTTATTTTACAAATTAAAACAGAAGTCATCAAGGTAATTTCAGAGCAGGTATGTTGACTTGATCCTGAAGATACAGCCTGCTGAGGTGGCTCAATATCTTTCAGGCCCTGCAGACACACTGTGTATTTCCCGCATCACTGCCTGTAACAGTGTTAGCTTTTTAAATAGGTGGATATTTTTAAAATCCAGTGCACATTCACAACCACATGTCAACTATTTTTACAGGCAGGTAGAAAATTAAGCATCTGGATACTTTTCCAACAGTATGGTTTAAACAGAAATCTGTGTGTGTTAGACATTATAGAAAAAATATTGCTTACAGTCAGATGTATTCAGAGTCACTGCCATTTTTAAGGAAGCATCTCTGCCCTTCACTTTTCTTTTTGAATTAAAAATACCAAGATAATGAAGTCAAGTTACCACTGTGAGACACTAATTTGCTGCACAAATTTGGACAGCACACAAGCACTGCTCCATTGGGAAGTATCTGCTTAGTTCATTTAATTATCATTTGGCCAAAGAACACCTAATATGATGGATATTTTCTTCAATCCATTAAAAGGCCAAATGTTACAGAACTACTGAAAACCAGCTGCTGTCAAGACGATTCCGACTATGTGTTAAGTGTACGCTCCATAGGGTTTTCAATGGCTGATTTTTCAGAAGTAGATCACCAGGCCTTTCTTATGAGGCACCTCCAGGTGGACTTGAACCTCCAATCTTTCAGTTGGCAGTGGAGCACATTAACCATGTGCACCACCCAGGGACTCCTACAGAACTATTACCGCCTTCTATTCAGAAGGACTTGCAAAGAATTTAGCAGAAAAAGATATTATTTCTAAGGAGAAAAATAAACTAAGATATTTTCTCAAAACTGAAAATGCCCAGTTTGGCCAGGATGCATAAGAAGACAAGGTCCAGTTAGGAATTCTGTGCCTGTATACCTGTATTGCTACATAGCCTCTTTGAGACCCTTCTGATAACCACGCTTCCCATCCTTGCTATGCCATTCGTCGCTACCTAAACTCCATTAAAACAAACATTCCATTTATTATTAATAATAAAACTATGTCTAAAGTACAATATTCCCTGGTGTCTCTTAGGTGCTCCCCAGTCCTAATATTCAAACAACACCATCTCATTTGTAATAGTCTTCTCCTGCGGAGCCACTAGTGGTTTCCAGCTACCAACGTTTTGGAAAGCAGTGGAGTGCTTAACCACTGCACCACCAGGGGTCCTTAGTAATACTACAGGAAGGAAAACTATCTAACAAGTAAAATCTCTGCACTTGGCATGACCCTCAGCCAAAGTCCCTTAAGGATTCAGATAAGTTCAGAATTATCTATAGTCTCTATCGTCTATCAATAATTTGTACTTCAGTAAGACATCTTCCCTGCCCTCAAGCATCAGACATAGAAGGAAAACAGGAAAAATGACATGGTTGATGATAAAAAGTAAATAAAATATGAGCATGTTTTAAAAAGATGAGAGTAATTCCAATGGGGTACAGTGGCAAGAGAGGCAGTGTGGGAACTATGACTTGCAGGAAGGAAAGAAATCTGACAAAGAAATATAGGGGTGGGGGAAGGGTAAAGGGGGAAGAGCGAGCATTCCAGGAATTTCCCCAAATACTGATAAACAGGTCAAATTCCTTGGCACAGGAAATCACTTCATACCAAAACAGTTTCCAAGTTTCAGCTAATGACTGTAAACAATGTCCAAAATAAGAAAATTCTAATATAATGAAAGATTTTGGACACTCAGCAGCTCATTGCACCATTTCTAACATCAAAGCTTTAAGGTTTTCTTCTTAATTTTACCCCTAAGTAAAATTCTAAATATTCATTAAATGGTTCACAAATAAGTTATATGACATCTCAAGTAAGACAAATATTTTAAAAACCAGAAACACAGAGACCAGTTTTCACAGCCTCAGGGCATATTTTAGAGTAATTAGGAAGTGAATATGTTTTCGTGTAATTGAGTGGAATCCTTGCACTGCCAAATGATCAGTAAGGCCCAAAATTATCCTGCCTTTAGTAAACAAATATTCAGCAAGCTTAAAAGAAGTATCTGCATTTTCGATAAGATTCTCATCACATCTGATTCATAACCTCTCAAAGTTAAGCACTGTTCTTTCTTTTTTTCTTTTTCGGGTAACATTAAGTGCAAAAAGTTGATAAAGATGATGAATCAAAACCAAAACAATCTGCTGTCGTTGAGTCGATTCTGACTCATAGCGACTCTACAGAACAGATTAGAAGTGCCCTATAGCGTTTCTAGCTGGATGAAGGGAGGCCAAGATACTTCATAGAAAGTAACCCATAAGTCCCTTGCCTCCACCCCTCTCCAAGGCTGAGTTTTCACAAACAATTAAATTTTATAGCCGCTCAAATGCTCAATGATGTAATCAAGTAAAATACATTAGGATAAAATACTTAGTAGTATATAAACAGACTGTTTTCAGATTACACTTGCCTAAATTCATAACCTTTAGAAGCACCCCAACTGAGTTTAGATTATAGCTCCCTAGCTCACAAGCAAGAAGAAAACAAAACTGATGATTAATGTTATTATTTACAACAAGGATCTTAAATCTTCGTAAAAGTCTAGCCAGGGCATTCAAACCAGATTATAGGTTGAGTTTAAGGGTTGAATCTGTTCAAAGTATAATATGTTTCTTAAGATTTCCTTCTTCTAGAAGTTACAGTAGGAAAGAAAAAGCAATCCCCCAAAAGATTTCTTCTCAGTACTAGTTTTGCTTAATTTCAATACATGTAGTATTAGTTATAAAACCAAGACAGCTAGTTTTAGTATGTTTTGTTGCTTGTTTACCTGGAGATTTCTTGTTCGATCTTGGCTGTACCAAGTGAGACTGTCGAGGCAGCAGGGGTGACGAAGGCAGAGACATAGAGACACCTTTGGTCAAGCTCACCCTATAGGTGTCCTCTGCTACAGGAAGGCTGCTAACGGGAAAGTCCACACCATGGCCAGGGGGAAGGACTGGAGAAGACTCTGAATCAAAGTCACTTCCTGGAGTGGAGAGATAATATCTTAAGTTAGACCATCCATTATAAGTAGATCCAAATTTAATTCCTAAGAACTACATTCTTATAATTTCCATATTTTAAAGTTATTTTTGTACCATTCTTATGACTTTTTAACCCTACAAGGTACAACTCTAGTATCACTTCTTAAGACTTAATGAACTCTGCCCTATATCCCTTTCCACACCATGCCAACTGGTCTGGTTTCATTCCTAAGGATGTGTTCAGAAAACCACTGATCCAAGATCAGATCAAGGTCAAGTATGGATGATCTACAAGAAACTCTGATTTGAGATGAGTAAGGGAAGAAGGTTACTAGTTTTATATGGGTATCAGTAGAATGGATTCAAATACCAACATCTGTTCCAGAACTCCATGTCTTCCTCACCATCCCCCTCCAATAAGAATGTTCAAGGGAGGGTCTAGCCTACCTGAACGTTCCTTCCCCGCATTATACATGTTCTCTCATCCTATCTGCTCCACACTCCTCACAGCATAGAATTCACACTTCTAAAACTTAACCAGCCCCAAACCAATCATGGGACTGGAACCATGTCTCACTTATAAGGCAGGTTCTCCTTGGCATTCAACCCCTATCTGAACTTGGAAACAAACAAGATTACTATTATGAAATTAAACAGTCTACGACAGACAAAAACAAACAAACTTGTTGCCGTCAAGTTGATTCTGACTCATAGCGACCCTATAGGGAAGAGTAGAACTGCCCCATAGAGTTTCCAAGGAGCGGCTGCTGGATTTGAACTGCTGACCTTGTGGTTAGCAGCCGAGCTCTTAACCACTATGCCACCAGGGCTCCCTAGGACAGACAGAGGCCCCAAAAAGACAGAGGATGCAATCACAGTGTAGAGTATGCAAGGAAGGGAGTATCTAGGGCTAGCCACTCTGAAAAAATAGCCAGTCCTTAAGTATTCAGACAATATATACTCTCCTTCTACTGTTCCTCCTCCACCAATCACCTTTTCCCCCTTAGGGTGTAGAAAGAACAAACTGAGGGTGTACATGCAGAGAAGGTAAATCATTTAAGATTTAACAGCATTTTCAAGCTTTAAATTATATATAGCAGAACTGGAAAGATATAGTTTTCCATAAGCAAATCAGTCTCTCTGACAAAAGCTACCCAACTGGTCTTTACTATGCCTTCCTGACTCCAAAAAAAAAAAATCAAGGACGAGATTTGAAAAAAGAAAAATGAAAGCTGTCTAGCCAGACGGGAACTCAATTTTTGCAGATCTTTGTGTCTCTTCAGGCTCAAAAAGGACATGACTCAAACCCTCAAGTTCTAAGTTGCACTGTTGCGCTTATCTTTCACAGTAGGGAGCAGTGAAATACAGTCCCTCCCTCCACAAAAGGACTTCTGAACAAAAATACAAACGGACGGGGGTGGGGGAGGGAAAGGCCAGCCAACTGAGAGTTGACAACACAGGGAAAAGCAAAACAAAGAAGCATGGACAGCACAAGAATGGGCATCAGAGTGGACGAGAGTTTGGGCAGAAAAGGAAGGCCATGGACCACAGAACAAGCCTCGCCCAGAAACAAGCTCATGCCTTACCTTTCAAAGCCAACTCAAAACCAACAGATTTGTGAACAGAAAGCCATGGGTTCCACAACAGTGAGGTGGCCTGTGAGAAAGGTAATTTCAGTCTTACCTGGGTCAGCTATGCTTGAAGAAGTTTTAATACACCCAATTTGTAGATGTTTAGACAAGAAACACCAGGAGATAGATAAGAACTTGGAAAGAGCTGAGGTCAGAGCCTACAACCCCTGGGAGTTATATACTCATGAGGTGTGGGGGGAACTTTAAAGAAGTGATGCTGGTTTTTCCATGTGGTTTGAAGAGAGCTACCAGACCCTGTAACTGTCCTTATACTGCCTAAATCACTGACTGGGCTGGCAAGTAACTATGGGATAGCATACTATACCACAAAGGCACTGTAACAAGGCACTCACCCCCCCACCCAGGACTGTTTCTGAGCAATACAGAAAAACCCCAGACTTCAGGTCCCTACTTTAGATGGGGACAAAGAAGGGAGAAACACATCTATTGTGATAAAATCAGAAATAAATAGTGAAGATCATTCCTAAGAAAGAGTTTATTTTCTGAAATACTTAGAATTCTCCAATGTGACAGAAGAGAAATTGGAGAGTGAAGGGTAAAATAGAGAATTAGAGAGTTTCCTAATTACAAAGTCTGCCCATAAACTTTGTTTATATCAAGTAAAGCAAATATTTTCATTAACTGCAAAGCTGGTGGGGATGAATTTCCAAAGCATGCTATAATCACGAGGACCTTCAGCCTTGGGAGCAGCTGGGCTCTGGCACTTTGATTTTATGCAGTCTGCAATAACACAGGAGTTTGGGGAGGAGGGGTTTCTATGTCATCTTCACTATATCAGTCCCAGACATGCTGTTCTGTTTCGTTTTTGTTTTGTTTTTCAAAGACAATTACAGACACCTAATTTCAGCTTCCACTGATTAAAAAGATACAAAGTGGATAGAGAAATTTAATGTATGAATAACCAGAAACCAACGGCACAAAACAAGTAGGGTGATCTAGGGGCTTAGAAGCTACAGACAGCACTCTGGAGCCTGGTGCTTCAAAAGCACCAGGGCCAAGGGGTTAAGGTCAACATAAGTCCAAACGCATCGCAACAATGCCAGTGGCAGAAAGTGAAAATCTCTGAGGGGCATCCGTTCAAGCAATACAATATTGGTTCTCAGCAACATAATACCAGAAATTCTCCAGTTGATTTCACATTTCCCCAGCAGATGCTTAAAGAGGTTTAAGAGGAATTAAAGACGTTTTACTGCAACAATCAGCACCACTGGCACATTTTTTCTTTAGCTCTGAATAAATGTTTTTCTTTTAACTGTGACCTATTTTTTTTATTCCTCACCTCAATTAAGTGACAGGAAGCATACTTCAATCATCACTGCTGTTGCTGTGGCAGAAATGCCCAGGCCTACGAGGACAATGACTCCTCTCCAGGGTAGGAAAACCATGTTATCAAACGACCCACGATTTACCAGGTCTCCTCCTGTTCCACTGGCAGGTGTTTCCCATGGAGCATTCTTATCCCAACATGCATTTCATCTCAGAGAGCATCTGATCCAAACTCACTGCTTCACAGACAAGAAGCTGGACACGGGGCTAACCTCTCCCAGCCAAGCAGTCTAGGCACTACCACACTCACTACCCTACACGTTTACGAACTTTACTTTGGAAAAAAATGGAAGCCCCCCAAACAAGCACTTTTTAAATGTGTTAAACCTTCATAAGGGATCAGCAAACTTTTGTTGTACAGGGCCTGGTAGTAAATATTTTAGGCTTTGCAGGCCACATATGGTCTCTGTCATTCATATCTGCACATGCGTGTGTATAAATATATTCATATGTATATGTGTGTGTATATATATACACATACACATGTGCACATGTATCTTTTCTCAATTACAAAATTTCCTCAATTACAAAAATAAGACTAGAAAATGCATAGGACATTTACAAGATGTGCCCTATGTAAAATAAACATAAATAAAAAATAAATGTACACACACACACGTATACACACACAAAAGAACTGTGAATCAAAGTTTTCAAAGATAATGGAATTATCAAAGGGGATAAAGCCAGCTAAGTAAGGCCATTTTAAATTGGCAGAAACTGCTTTTGACTATAGTTCTTTATTTTAAAAGTTTTTCACCATTACAGACTGTGAAAAGGGATTTTAATTCATAATGAAAGAAAACATGAATTTGAGAGATGATGAATGGAAGGCTATGCAAAATGGCAACGTCCAACCAACATCACAGATTAAAATACATGAAGTATGGGATTACAGAAGGCTTTAAAAAATGAGGGCAATGGAGCCAGGGAGATGAAAGTAAAAGCGTATTTCAGAAAAGACAGACCTGAGAAAGGCAAGGGTGAAGCCTAGCTATTAAGGCAAATAGGGCTGCAGATGCAGGAAATAAGATTTCTATTTATTGTGCCACTGAAGTGGCCAGGTGGAGGAGGGGGGAAATGGAAGCTTCAAATAGAAAGATGTTCTGTTTATACAGTTCCACAAAACAGGGCTGTGCTAGACACTTAACTAGGACATTAAATGTGTTGGAACTTCTTTTGTGTAGTCCCTAGCTTGAAGTGCCTTAATGTTTCTTAAGCATATATTTTCCATCATAAGGCTGTATAACCACATAGCTCATATGCATATACAGACACCTGGCAAAATTGGAAAAGATTTCCTCCCACAAGATCCAGTATCATTTCTGAAGCCTGTAAACCACATCTCACAGGATCTCCCGTAGGATCCAGCCATAGCTACTGACTGTTAATGTACATTTTCAAAAATAAATTTAAGATAAATGTATCCAAGAAAGCAATTTTCAAATAATAATACCACTAAGACGCAAGAAAACAGCTAACCCCCAGGGCAAAGAAAAACCTCATCGATAGGACAAGCTTATATTTTTGTCTTCAAAAATTCTCCAAGGGGGCTCTAAGTAGAGATCAGTAATTACTATCCTCAGTTTTATTCTTAATACTCAATGGTTATAGAACCAAACGTACAAATGTGCTTTATCCTGAAATATGATGAGTAAACAAACTGGCATTTCCTCTCAAACTGTCAGTGTCTTTCCTTTAAGACATACTGGCATGCAAGAGTTTCTGTGTTATAAAAATATGACATCAGAAAAACTCCCCAACCTCAAGTTCCAAAAGGGGTGCACTTGAAATAGTTTTTTTAAAAATGTACTATGTGCTATGGCAGAGTTTTAAGTTATATGTACACATCAAAGAAAAAACCAAACCCATTGCCGTCATCGAGTAGATTTCAACTCATAGCGACCCTATAAGGCAGAGTAGAACTGACCCATAGGGTTTCCAAGGAGCGGCTGGTGGATTCAAACTGCCAACCTTTTGGTTAGCAGCCAAGCTCTTAACCACTGCGCCACCAGGGCTCCATA